ATTTACCTTTCAACAACAGAAATGAAAATAGAAAAAACCAAACATCAATAAAAATTCAAGACGTGGGCTTTTTTCCAACCAAAGTGATCCATTAGAACCATTTCATCTTTTGCCATAATTCCTTGCTTGCCTAGTAAAATAAAATAAAATCCTTAATCTTTCGGAACGATTAAAACGGAATGATAATACCCCTCTAAATCGACGTAAAACCATACAATAAAATCAAACCAGCATACAATCAATTCATCGCGAAAATCTATATTTACTTACTAAAAACCTCGTTTCAATAATTTTTTCTATTGTTCTATGATGAAGCTTCAAACCTCTGTAAAAGGAAAAAAAAAAATAGAGGATTAGAATTTTTAGAATGTTAAGGACTGAGAAGACGAAATTAAAAACAATATAGATAAAATATTTGGAAAATGAAAGAAAGAAAAGAGAAGAAATAAATAGAAGAAAGGGGAGAATGAAGGAAAGAAGCATTGGAGGTTGCTTTGTGAAATGGAAGAAGCCAGGGAAAAATGACTGATATGGATAGTTGTATGAAGAGAAGGTGATGCGTGATGGAAATAAAGAAGACAAAAATAAAAAATAAAAAAACATCATTTTGCATTTTGTACAGTAACATGAGATTCATTTACTGTTTAATGAAATAGCGTCATCTCCTTCCCATTTTTAAGAGAAGTTAGAAAAAGAAAAGGAAATTAGTGTTAAAAATGAAATGATAATACCCTCTAAAAAAATCGACCTAGAACCACAGAATAAAATCAAACCAACATATATTCAATTCATAGCAAAATTCGATATTTACTTACCAAAAACCCTTGTTTCAATAATTTAGATTCAAACCTCTGTAAAAAGAAAACAAAAATAGGGAAAGCGGGAAAAAAGAAAGAAAAAAAAAGAATAAAGGAAATTGCTATCGGAAAAAATAATAATAACGACAAATTTGCAAATGTTGTGCACGCAAAATTTTATATTTATCGTATTTTTATTAGCGTATGAATTTTAGTTTTTTGGAACGTTTTTGAAGTAATATGTAGACATGATATAAGAAAATAATTGTAAATTATTTTATAATTGCTTAACAACATTGTGTCATCTAGAAAAAAATATATTTGTATATTTCATGCTTGAATAAGAAATATACGAGATTATACAAACTATTTTCATGTATTCTTTGATAGTGCTGATATGATTGAATTGAATGTGAAGATAATATTTCTAAATTTTGTGTAATTCAATTTTGAAAAATTGAAGATTGAGGACAAAGTTATAAATCAACTTACATATTCATATGCATTTATATTTTGCGTTTCATATATTTTAATATTTATTTTCTATTTATGTTGAAAAAAATTAAAATTTGGAAAATTTTTTGACATTCAGTTTGGTAAGTGAATATATAGTGTTCTGCATTCTCGATATTTGTAATTACAAAAATCGGTATATAAAAATATGGTAAGCTGCAAATACGATAGGCAGTATATACGGTAAAGTGTAAATACGATAACTTGCACGCAAATAAGATAGGTAGGAAACATATACGGTAAGCTGCAAATACGATAAGCAATAAGTTTCAAATACAATAAGCTGCATATACTGTAAGCTAAAAATATGGTACATTTCATATACGGAATTATAATTTGTTATAAATGTATAAAATTTATTTAATATTGAATTTCTTACAATACAATATTGTTTCCTTTTTTATAATTGTATTTTCGGGAATTAAAAAAAAAAAGGTGGTTATGAAATTGACTAATTTGTAAACAAAATTTTGTTGAAGATAAAAATCATTTTTTTATACTATTTGTAAAAAAAAAGTTATCGTAAATTTATTAGTGTAATAAGAAGATTTATTATGATTATTTAAAATTTTTTTAACACCACACAATAAATCCATACTTTTAACATGGTGATTGCAAAGTCTTTTGTGTATCAATAATGATTTTCCATTTGAACAATAATGCCAATTTTTTTTGGCATCATTCTTACTTCTTTTTTTTTCACAGGTTTTACTTTTTTTCATCTTTGTCTTCTTCATATGTTTTGATGCTTTTGTTAGATTCTTTTATTGTTAGCAGTGATTATTTTTTTGAGAGATTTTTTTTGTATTATATTGAAGTTAAATTTATTCTTGTAATTATATTTTTTATTAAATTTAATGCATATTTTTAATTAATAAAATAACAAATTAAATAAATATTATGTTGCATGATTAAATTAAACAAAAGAAATCGTTGGCACAACTCTGCACAATTTGTGCAGAGTGTTCGCACAGTCCGCACATTTTGTGCGGAGAGTTCACACTTTGTGCGGACAGTTTGCACAATCTGTATAGAGTTCCTGCAGTTTGTGCGGAGAGTCCACAACTCCGCACTTTGTGCGGACACTTCGCACATTGTGCGGACTCCCCGCACATTTGGAGACATGACCATACAACATGTGTTATTTTTATTGAAATTATTAAATTAGTAATTATATGAAATTAATTCTAACCATCTTTCCGCAACTACGCAGAGGCTTTTTTTTTTCCGCTTATGTGCAGAGTTTTTTTTTTTTTTTTGGGCTCATGTGCAGAGAGGCTTTTTTTTTTTTTTTTGTCTCTTGCTGTTTATATATACTAATTTTTTTTAATGCTGTTGGCATGATGTGTGTGTTGAAAAATATTTGTCAATCATTATCAACAAAATTCTTTACAAAATGCAAAAATAAAAAAATGATATCACACAAGGTAAAATTAGATTACTTTACTGTTGCATCTACAGTATTGCCTAGGGATGGTAATCGGACTCGCTGGCTCAGGCCGCCCGTGGCTTGGCCTGAAAAAAGCTCGTACTTGCCCGGCTCGAGGCTTGGGCTAGCCCCATTTTTAGGTGCTGGGCAAAGCTCGTGCTGGCCCGTTTGGCTCGCCGACTCGAAGCATATATAAAAAATTAAAAAAAAACTTCCATTTTATTTAATTAAAAAAAAATAATAAAAAAATTTCAAAACCAAACAAACCCCGAGCCGGTCTGGCTCGGCTCGGAAAGGCCCGAGCCAAAAGTTTGGGTCGAGCCTAATTTTTTTTTTTGTCGAGCTTTTGCTCGGCTCAGACCTGAAAAAAGTTCGGATATTTTACCTGAGCCGAGCCCTAGGCTAGAATTTCGGCTCACGACTCGACTCCTTGACATCCCTAGTATTGCCTCTTTGCCCTTTTTATAAGAAGTTGGACAAATTTGATGGAGACCATGCACTCAGCACTCGGTACATGAAAATGACAGTATTTATTCGACTAGGAACACTTGCACTAAAAATTGAAGGTTGAGATTTATTTGTCATAAAAATTAAATTAAAAACTCAAAAGTGTGTGATTTGTAGACCCCACACGCACCAGGAACGATTCCAAGATGCTGTTACGTGGACACTTCGTCATTGATGACGACGTGAATGATGTGATCATTTTCACGACATGTTTCATATTTGCAAATCACCCCCTCTTAAGTTTCGATTAAGTCAAATGGGCATCTTGCATCATTATCCAATTCCATGGATGTATAAAAGAGGTCTTGTAAATATTCTTTCAAGTAAGGTCGATTTCATAGTATTAACTTGTATAATCTTATTCTAATGTATTTCCTTGTGAAGTAATATTAAGCTGTATAACTTGACCTACTACTTTTTTAGGTTGTTTGGACTTCAGTTTAATTTTAATATATTTTTCTCCTCTATTTTTTTTTTCAATAGATCAATTTTCAATAAAATAATATTACATGTAACTTCAAATTTTTTTTTCTTTTAACCATACATTCTTCAAAAATTGCTATTTTCAAAATACATTTTTCCTAAAATTTCATTAAAATTGAGCCCAAGCAAGGGCTAATCACATTCTAAATGGAACAAATGATTATTGATGAATGTATTTAGCCCTTGTTTGATAACTATCTTTCAAAAGAATAAGTTTTTGAATAATAAATTTTTGAAGAATGTACAGTTAAAAAGTAGGAAATTTTTTTGAGTTTACATGAAAAATATTTTATTGTGAATGTGTGATTGAAAATAAGTATGAAATTTTTTTTTTTTGAAAGAATGATTATCAAACAGTGGCTCAAATAAGACTAAATGCAACCAAATGTTAAAAAAATGTGATTATAAAACTTAAGGAAAAATGCAGCAACGATTCTAAACATTTGAATTTTTTTACAGACTTTACTTTAACCTTCAATTTGTATCACCAAAAATCCCAAACTTCTAAAAAATTAGCACTTGAAGTCCAAAATAACGGAAAACATGAGTTCCACTGTTAGTTGACTTGAAAAATAAAATAATTGAATACTTTGACTAATTTAAATAGGGGCTAAATCACATATTAATATTTAAAGCAATTAAATTAAAGATTTGGAGGTAAAGCCTGCAAAAAATTCAAAGGTTTGAAACAGTTGCTACAAATTTTCCTAAAACTTAAGTTGTTCCAAAAGTTCACAAATATGGTATGCAAAAGATGCCAATGTTATTTAATACTATTAATAATAAGACATCAATTTATGTGACACAAATATCATTAAGAGCTTGTTTAGTAGGATTTAAAAGTAAATTAAAATTAAATTTTTGATCGTTATTTCACTATTTCAATCGTCATTTTTGAATTTTTTTTCTCACAGGTAGGACCCACTTTATCTCTAACGATCAAAAAATTAATTATCAAAATTTCTACCAAACAAGCACTAAATGAAAAGAATAATTAAATGAGTAAAGTGATTTCACTCTATTACATGGGATACTTAAAATGGTGGTCTAATACAATTAGTGTTAGACGACATTATTACTATTATTATTATTTTTTTTTAATAAATGTGCAGACTTATGATGAGTTGATAGCAGATAAAAATATATGAAATAAATATTGAGGGGGAAAAAAAAATAGTCATTGGTGGCGTTGACCAACGAGGACGTACGGGAAGCAAAGTGTGGGAGCATGCGGAGGATCGAAAATGCCTCGATTTAACGTGCGCCAACGTTTCTACTATTAATCGAATTCTCACTCGATTTTCTCTCTCATTTTTTTCTCCACCAATTTCACTCTCTCACACTTCTTTCGGATTTGCCGGCACTCCAAAACCCTAGTTTTCGCCAAGCATTTGATTGTTCTCTTGCACCTTTAAACTCCCTAAATCTGAAGGTAATTCCCAATTTAATTTTGGAAATATATTCAGCTACCAACTATATTGTATAAGATATTCATTTCTGCATCTGGTTTACATTTTTGTTTTGATTTAAGTTGAAAGCAATGAATTCAACAATAATTTAAGCTTTCTTTTAAATATTTTTTTGTCAATTTGTTTGAATTGAAGCAGAATTAGAGAGTTAAGAAAGAGATATACATTTTTTATTATCTAAACGTATTCTGCGTATATATACTTTCTTTATTTAAGTCGAGTTCTGTAGGCTTTTCTTCCTTTTTAATAATATTTCTCATGGTATCACAAAGATTTCAGTTTCTTGTAGAATACGATTTTTTGCAGTGAACATAGTAATTTATTGATACAAAATTGATAAACCATGGTTGTTTTATTTTTTATGTTTAATTCTTTCTTTACTTTTTCCTATTCTGCTTACGCACTTATGATTCATTTGATTTGCATCCAGTCTCGAATAATATCCATAGATCACTTTCTTCCATCAAAGAGTTGTTTTGTTTGGTAGAAACTTTCTTTGATCTGCTCACAGGATTTTCATTTATATATCGATTATGTTAGTTTTAATCTGGCAAACTAACTCCATGTATCGAATTTTATTTGCTTGGAACAGGATGACTAGTGGCCAGTTTATGTCTGCATGGATAATGATGTTTCTCAATCGATAAAGCTTGTGATTTTCTCAAATTATATTACATATCTTAGAATGGATCGCCAGGACACTTCAGGTTTTGTTAGTGGTGGATGTTGTCCCATTTTTGGAAGCTACTGTTTGATCTTTACTCATTAGTATTTCCCTTCTTTTCTTCTTCAACCTCGGGAAGTCCAGCAATCTGTTATTTTCATAATTTTAAATTTCATCCATTGATTTGTCTTGAGGGGTGAATTGACGGTGCATGGACAGCACCCCCCACTGTGCTTTTTCTTTGGCCTCTGTGTCAAAAGATCTATGCAAATTTGTCAATTGTCAGGCCTTTGCTGCTCCGGATCTTAATGCACATGGTGTGACAAGATCCTGTTATTCCAACAGAAGCAAGAGGAAACGGAATGTTGTTAATGGGCATATTAACTTGAAAGATGGATCTACTCTGGTTCTTGGTTTGGATCGTTCATCAAGTTTCTACACTGCCATATGCTCAGGGAAAGAAACGGAAGAGTCTTCTATTGATCTTGGTCCAAGTACCAACATCAACCTAGGAGATGACAGGACATCCAACCCAACTAAGGTAGCTGCTGGGGCTCAAAATACACTTGAAGCAAGGAAGCCTAAAATAGACTTAGAATTGAGTCTATCCACTGGACCTGCTGAATCTGATGTCACAACTGTTTCTCAACTCTTTAGTCCTTACCAAAACAATTCCAAGTCAGCAGCATTAGCCTCCACATTTCAACTTGTGGACGAAGGATCAACATCATCTCGTTGGAAAACTGGGCCTCTTGTGTCTCCATTGCAGAATCTAGAGACTTCGATTCCTTTGGATCAAGGCCATTACTGGGACAATCCTACTTCGGCGACCCTAAATGTTGTATCAACTCCAGCAGCAACACCATGCTCAGTTGCTGGTGCTTCTGGGTCAGTTACGAAGCAACAGCAGCGCCGAACCGCTGTGAAAACTTGTAGGTTTGAAGGATGCATCAAGGGAGCAAGAGGTTCTTCTGGTCTTTGTATAGCCCATGGAGGTGGCAGGAGGTGTCAGAGGGAAGGCTGTCAAAAGGGAGCTGAAGGCAGGACAGTTTTCTGTAAGGCTCATGGAGGTGGTCGGCGTTGCCAGTATCTTGGGTGTACTAAGAGTGCTGAAGGTGGTACTGAATACTGTATAGGTCATGGTGGTGGTAGGCACTGCAATCACAAGGGCTGTGTTCGTGCTGCAAGAGGTAAGTCTGGCATGTGCATTCGTCATGGGGGTGGCAAAAGGTGTATGATGGAAAATTGCACCGGGAGTGCTGAGGGAATATCTGGCCTCTGCATATCTCATGGAGGTGGTCGTCGCTGTCAGTATCCTGCATGTACAAAGGGTGCTCAGGGTATTACAATGTTTTGTAAAGCTCATGGTGGTGGCAGCAGGTGTACGTTTTTGGGCTGTACGAAAGGTGCAGAAGGAGGTACTCTGTTATGCAAAGGCCATGGTGGGGGGAAAAGATGTACATTTGTTGGATGCACGAAGAGCGTGCATGGGGGAACTTCATTTTGTGTTAGTCATGGAGGGGGCAAGAGGTGTGCCGTGTCTGAATGCACTAAGAGTGCAAGGGGACGCACGAACTATTGTGTCCGCCATGGGGGTGGAAAAAGGTGCAAGTTTGAAGGATGTACAAAGAGTGCACAAGGAAGCACTGATTTTTGCAAAGCGCATGGTGGTGGAAAACGCTGCTCTTGGGGACAGTTGAGTTCAGAGTTTGGTAGTCAAGGTGCCATTCCATGCGACAAGTTTGCTAGAGAGAAATCTGGCTTGTGCATTGCCCACAGTGCACAAATTCAAGATAAACATATGCACAAGAGTGTTTCTATGGTTTCTGCAGTTCAGGATCTACCCCCTAGCTCATTTTCCCAGTTGAAAGAGTTTTCTGCAACTGGAAGCGTTCTTTCTGATTGCATTGGTACATGGATTGAATCAAAGGGTTATAGGCAACAACTGATTACTACGCGGATTTCACCACAAGAAAATTTCACTCATGGAAGCATGAGCTTGAATGATTTGTCTCTTCCAGAAGGTAGGGTGCATGGAGGAAGCTTAATGACTTTGCTTAAGAGGAAGTACAAGCACAAGCAACAATAATCAAGAAGTTGGTCGAAATTTGGAGCCAATAAAATCTTATCCTATGCCTCATAGTTGGGTGTAAGTTAAATTCATCCCATTATGCTGTCTTCTTCCCAGGCAGTTCTATTGGTTTCAAAAGATTTCTATTGCATTTTGTTTGTCTTTGGAGTTGGTACTGTGGATAAGGAATCCTTATCTCATTCATTGTGTTATATTGTGCTTGGGAACTTCAGAAGTCCAAGAATTTAAAGTATTGAATTCGGGTCTGTATAGTTTCTGTTTTAGTCAAGGCTGTTTTGAGTCTTCTGTAAATCAGGGGCGGAGCCCCATTAGGTCCAGTGCGGGCAGAACTTTTGGGCTCCACTAGGCCCAAATAATTTTTTTTTCTTGAAAGCCTAGTTAACAAGTAACAATCCAGATGGAAGCCCAACCCAAGTAACCACAGCCCATGACCCATTTACGTTTATCGACTCGGACCCAGTGACCCAGACCCATCATTCTTAACCCGTTTGAAATAAGAATCAGGCCAAACCCTTAATCCATTAATTGCCTCTCTCTCCATACTCGTCTCTCGCCTGTGCTCTCAAAGTCGAAGCTCCGCCCATCTCCGCCCCTGCACCGGTGGCCTGCATCTCTTAGATTAGGGGCTTTAATCTCCTTCCCTTAGTTCCCTGTAAGTGTAAGCTCCGCCCCTGCTGTCTAGATTAGGCCGAAACTGAAATCAGTGAAGTGCATCTCCTAGATTAGGCCGCAACTAAACCGTCGTCTGCCAGGCGCCACCGCACAGTCCACACCAGCTGCCGCCTGTAAAGAAGGTAATTAATTTCGAATTTAGATGTTCTTCCAAATTCCAACTAAACTGCCGTGAGCCGTTTGCCGGTGTGAGTCTGCGAGATACAAAGATTATTTTTAATTTATGGCTGCTGCTGCCTAATTTTCATTTCTTCGATTTTGTCTGCTGCCTAATTTTCATTTCTTCGATTTTGCATATTCTCATTAATTCAGTCATTCTCACTCAGTCACTCTGTCACACAAGGATAACTTAGTATGTAAATTTATGTTGTGAAATTGGATTGATAGTGTGAAATTATGAATTAGATTGTGAAATAGTATAAATTGCATTGTGAATTTGTGATGTGGAAGGTGAATTGATATTGTGAAATTGGATTGATAGTGTGAAATTGGAAATTGTGAATTGTGAAGTTGATTGTGAAATAGTATAAATTGCATTGTGAATTTGCGATTTGGAAGGTGAATTGATATTGTGAAATAGGATTGATAGTGTGAAATTGTGAATTAAATTGTGAAATTGTATAAATTGCATTGTGAATTTGCGATTTGGAAGGTGAATTGATATTGTGAAATTGGATTGATAATGTGAAATTGTGAATTGGATTATGAAATGTGAATTGCACTTGCGAATTGAAATTGTGAATTTATGATCCTTTTGTTATTATGAATTATTCTCACTCACTTCAAGTAATAACTGGATATCAAATGTTTAAATCCAGATATCAAATGAATAAATACTTTCAACGAAAAAGGAACGTAGATAGTGTTGATGAGGGGGTATCGAATAATGTGGAAGTTGATGAGGGGTTATCGAATGATGTGGAAGTTGATGAGGGGTTATCGAATGATGTGGAATTTGATGTCACAAAACTTCCAACTGACCCTGGTCTAAGGATACCCATTTTGGATTACAATGCTAACATCCGAGATGAAGTTCGAAGAGCATATATGTTAAAGGGTCCTTGTCAGCCTCAAGATCATGACTTTCCAAAGCGACAATTTGGAGTAACAATTAGACGATTCAATCTTTCGTGGTTTAAAGAGTTCAGTAGTTGGTTTGTGTACAGTATAAAGAAGGATGCTGCTTATTGTTTGTATTGTTATCTTTTCAGAACAAGATCTGAAAAGCAAAGTGGAGGTGAGTCTTTTGTTGGCGAATGTTTTACATACTGGAAAGATAAAAAAATGCTTCATACTCATGTTGGGCTTCATGATAGTGCACATAATCAAGCTCGCATTAAATGTGAAGTGTTGATGAATCAAGAGCAACACATTCAATCAGTTTTCTACAAACAGTTAGAACAAGCAAGAAATGCATATGTTACATGCCTTAATGCATCCATTGATTGTGTTCGAGTTCTTTTGCGACAAGGGCACTCATTTCGAGGTCATGATGAATCTGAGGATTCTCTCAATCCAGGTAACTTCTTAGTGCAATATCAATTTTTGGCTGTTCATAATGAAGTTATCAGTGCCGTCACATTGGGAAATGCTCCTCACAATTGCAAATTGACATCACATGATGTTCAAAAGGATATAGTAAATGCTTGTGCTATTGAAACGATCAATGTTATTATCAAAGATGTTGGCGACTCGCTATTTTCTATTCTAGTTGATGAATCTTGTGATGTGTCAATGAAGGAGCAAATGTCTATTGTTTTACGTTATGTAGACAATAGTGGGCATGTCAATGAACGCTTCATAGGGATTGAACATGTTACAAGTACCACGGCTCTATCACTTAAGGCTGCAATTGATAAGGTATTTTCTAGATATAACTTGAGTATGTCTAGATTGAGAGAACAAGGTTATGATGGAGCAAGTAATATGCAAGGTAAGTTTAATGGTCTGAAAACACTCATTTTGAATGAGAGTCCATGTGCCTTTTACATTCACTGTTTTGCTCATCAACTCCAACTTGCGCTTGTGGCTGTGGCAAAGAAGAACATCCCTATTACTAACTTCTTTGGTGTGGTTGGGAACGTAATAAATACTGTTGGAGCATCTTCCAAACGATGTGATCTTCTTCGAGAAAAACAATTAGACTTTATTGTTGAGGCATTGGAAAAAGGTGAGATTTTAAGTGGACGGGGACTTAATCAAGAAACGACCCTTCAGCGCTCTGGTGATACACGATGGAGTTCACATTATAATTCTTTGGTCAACTTGTTTGCCATGTTCTCTTCTGTTTTAGATGTACTTGTAATAATTATTGAAGATGAGTCTTGTTCTTGTGATCAAAGATCTGATGCAACAAATTTATTGGAGTTGATACAAAGATTTGATTTTGCATTTAATCTACAGTTGATGAGAAGTGTGTTGGGGATTTCAAATGAACTGTCAAAGGCATTGTAAAGAAAAGATCAAGATATTGTGAATGCAATGCAATTGGTGAGATTGTGCAAACGATGACTCCAAATAATGAGAGACGAAGGGTGGGACTCCTTTTTGGAAGAAGTATGTTCTTTTTGTCAAAAACATTATATTCATGTACCCAATATGGATGATATGTTTGTACGCCTTGCAATTCGTGGTCGCCCTCAGCGTAATTCTCCAGAAATTATAAATTTACATTATTATCGAGTAGATTTGTTCTACTCTGTCATCGATTTACAACTTCAAGAATTGAATGATCGTTTCTCGGAGGTAAATATAGAGTTACTCCTTTGTGTAGCTTGTTTATGCCCACAAGATTCATTTTCTTCTTTTGACAAGAAAAATTTGATTAGACTTGCTGAGCTTTATCCATTAGATTTCTCTGCAGTAGATGGTATTGTACTTAACGATCAACTTGAGACTTATATTTTTGACATGCGCTCTAACAAAGAGTTTGAAGGGTTGAATGACCTTGGTGATCTTGCGGAGAAATTAGTTTTGACAAAGAAAGATAAGGTATATCCATTGGTTTACAGACTTTTGACTTTAGCATTGATTTTACCGGTTGCTACCGCTACTGTGGAGAGAGTTTTTTCTGCAATGAGCATCGTAAAGAATAGATTGCACAATCGGATGGGTGATTAGTGGATGAATGATGGTACTATTGTTTATGTAGAGAGAGATATATTTTTGAAGCTCGATAATGAAGTTACTGTACGACGATATCAAAACATGAAAACTCGCAAGGAACAAGTTTAATATATAAATTATGTCGTTTTTAGTGTTATTGTAATATTGTTTTATTTTTTTATCATCATTAAATCTATGACCAAAACCTCGAAGTTCGGCGTCGAAAAATGATGTCCGCACTGAACATAAATTCTAGCTCCGCCCCTGTATGTCGTTTTTAGTGTTATTGTAATATTGTTTTATTTTTTTATCATCATTAAATCTATGACCAAAACCTCGAAGTTCGGCGTCGAAAAATGATGCCCGCACTGAACATAAATACTGGCTCCGCCCCTGCTCGAACCGCCAGATAAGCTATCTCCCACTCTTGACAAAGGCAACTTGCTTGCCTTCTTTCACCATCCCTTGCTTCTACGGATTGATAATGAAACAGTAAGAAAAAAGACCAATATATCATGTCTTCGAGGACAACACAAAATACAAATCCAGAAACATATTTAAAAAAAAATAAAAAAAAATAGAAAGAAACCATAATAAACCACTTATTGACTACTTATTTTGTTACTATGGATCATTATATTCAAGAAGAAAATATTGATATATGTATCAATTTATTTTGGCACAAAGAACTGACTAAAATTTAAAATGTTTTCGAGTGGTCTTTTAACACGTTACACTCCATCATTCACTCACCATGTTTCATTGGTCATTGAAATTTAGCATAGTGAACTTCATAACCCATTCGCCACATTTCATTAGTTATTGAACTTATACTTTCGTTATACTTTATTATCTAAACTTTAAAATACTTTCGGGTGGTCACTCTCGTTGAAGTCAACTTTTTAGAAAGCTAAAATGTTTTAAGTATAAAATACAATACACGAAGACGACACCCTTGTTTCCTTTTGAATTATCTTGTACAACTCTAAGAATTATAATTTGTTAGTCTTGATTAATATTTTGACTCTAAATAAAAAATTTTACTGCTTGTTTGAGATATAAATTTTTACTTTCTTGATTTGGGTCTACAATCTCAATTGAAATAAAGAAATAATTTCTCTATTTTATTTTCTCGACGCAAAGGAGGGTTATAATCTAATTTAAGTTTTATGTCAATTTGATGATAGTATTCTACTTTCTCTTTGAACATAACTTTTGACGATTACAGAAATTCTATCTTCTCGATAAATATCATTATTCTCGTCATAATTGATAGTTTCATTATACAGTTGATGTTTATTTTTTTCTTGATCTAGGTTGATAATCATAGAAAACTTTATTCGGAAATATTAAGAAGTCTAGTAACCACTCAGAAGCATATTAAAGTTTCGTGAATAAATTGTGGCGGAAGTATAGTTCAATTATTAATGAAATATGGTAAGCTAGTGAGCCAGTGATGAAAGACAACGTGTTAAAATTCAATTACGACTAAGAAGCATGTTAAAGCTCAAATGACTAATAAAATATAATGATGGAATGCAACATGATAGAGTTTAGTGACCACTCAAAAATATTTTAAAGTTCATTGAGTAGTAAAGTGTGGCGAAAGTATAAGTTCAATGACTAATAAAACATTTAACTCAATGGATAAGAACTTGCATGGTAGACTTCATGTGTAGATTAACAATATTTCTATTCTCTATGATCATTAGATGTGATTTTATTTTTCTTTTAAAAAATAAAATAAAATATACTTATGTTGTAGCATTTAATATATAGATAGAACTTATTGGAGAGTAATTTTGAATTGATTCTATGTTCATTAATCATCAACTTTGCATTAACATGCGCGACTAGGAAAATTAATGTAATGGCACTAAGAAAGAATGAAACTAACTTTTACCAACGCTTTTGTCAGCTTATTTTTTGTCCATATTTGGCGTAAATTAAAATCAGATTTTTTGTAAATTTTCAAAAAAGTTAGCCCCCTGTTTAACAAAATTTATTTTCAAACTCTTTCTTCTACACTCATTTTCAACCACACATTCATACAGTAAAATATTCTACACTTAAACCTAATTTTTTTTTTCTTTTTAACCACACATTTTTCTAAAAGTTACTATTAAAAACATTATTTTGTGAGAAATAATGGCCACCAAATAGGAGCGTAACAAAATGTGTGTCTAAAAAATTGAGAGTCTTACAAAATGTGTGTATAAAATTAATTATTGATTTAGATTAAAAATTTTTTTTTTTATCAAATTTTAATCCATACCAAACAAACTTTATGACATTTTTGTATTATAAAAGAAAAGAAAAACTAATTTTTTTTTTTTATGTATTATACCACTGAACCTTGTCCTTTATACTAGAATAGGTAATTAGCAAAAAATGTCCCCATTATTTGTACTCATTATGAAGATAGTCACAATCGTTTCGAACTTGACATTTACAGTCTCATTTCAAATATTTATTGTAGAGTTAATCTTTGCTGTCATATTCCATTAAATCTTTTCTCAAAATATAGGTAATTAACGCAAAAAGTTCATATCGTTTGTCTTTATTGCACAAGTCATCCCTATTGTCTCAATTTTACATTTTGGCTCTCAAATCGACATTTCTTTGTACAAAAGGTCCTACCGTCTCGAAGCATCATGCCTTTATCGTTTGAAATTGGGGAGGGATAACGTGGAATTAGCTAACACTCAATAAGTAAACCTATGTATATGATGTATGCTTATGATATGCACATAAATGACTTTAAAATAAAAATATTTCTCGATATGTATTCTAATTTTGTTCATTTCTTTAAAAACTTAATATTGATGTTGTGAGCTCACTTGATGTATCGCCTAGCCAATTAGAATACAGTAGGCAATTATTATTTGAAATCCGGTCGAGTCCTACTAGTAGTCCCGCAAAGCGGTTAATATTAAACATTATCATTGAACATTGGTCGGGTGCGCGGGTCCTCCACGCCCTATTTTCCACTTATACCTTTCATAGCATAAACATACACCCCATAATAAAAAACAATCGGGATACATATATTTTTAAAACACTCATTGACTCATAACATCTAGAAGCTTTTTATTCCTTCAAACTTCATGCATGCTCATGAATGTATTGATGTGCATGAATATGTCAAGAAGCATTAGTAACATAACCTTCATAATCAAATATCAAGATCACATAACAACAAATTTTGGTAAAAAATTTATACATTTATTAATGTAACGTGCGCATGAAAACAATGTGAGGTTTACTTACCTTGAGTCTCACCAATTTACTTCTAGAGAGGTAAGTGGACATGTCCCTAGCAGCTCACGAAGTCAATGTGCCTAGGATCCTAGTTGATTGCCATTAATTAATTTATTTATTCGCCTTTATAGACATTAATAAAGAAAATATAATAATAGAGTTTAGATGTGTCTCAATTCTTCAAGACGGTGAAGTGTGCCTCAACTAAATAATGTGCATCGGCATATAATTAACATCCCGTGGCTTGTTGAATCGTTTGGATTTCTACTTATTCATGCCTACATAAATAGTGTACTAAAACATAGCATCTACTGCATTTGCTCTTAAATTAATGATGACACTCAAACAGAGCAATTTCCTATAGGGATCTTACCGACCCCTCACTGTAGAGGTCGATCCCACATGAAAAAAAAAAANAATTGTGAGGGATTTGGCAAGGGTCCGTAAAACAGAAGTGTAGCAGCATTCTAGCAATATATAGTAAGTCAAAAGAGAATTTTCACTTTGTAGAATCGTCCTTCATGACATCATCATCATCATCATTATTTTTTGGAGATTAAATAGATAACCAAAATCCATAAGAATAAAATAATTTCTTAAATAAAAATATCAGCAAACAAGAGTAAAAGATCAATGGAATATTATATAAAGTAAAATAAAGTTTCCTGCAATTGAAAAGGTGCATCTTTGATACATAAATGTTGTGAAAAATGAGGAAATTGGCTAGCCATCAGAATTCCACTACGTTGGAGACTAAATTACAAAAATGTGAAATAAGCTTATTAAAATTTTAATATAAAGTTTGAGCAAAATGATGAGAGTAACAACGAACAAAACTAAATTATAGATTTATATCAATACAGGTATTAATCCTGGTATCTTGTCTCAAGATGCAAGATTCACAATTCCACAACTTGAAGCAAATGATGAGTGGTTTCATAGAGGGTCGGCTTCTCGACGTGATTGCAAGGAGGTAAAGAAATGGGTAGAATTCTTGATTCTAACCTAATGATATTTAATGAGATAAATTAATTAGAATTATGTAGATAGACCTTAATCTACTCTTAGTAACTTATTTAGTTCTTAATTTGATTCTATTAGTTATTAATTTCCATTTGTAATTATTCATTTTATATTTCCCAATTTACTTACACAAAAAGTGAGCAGAAAGAAAATATTCCCATTCAATGTCTAGGTTCAATCCATAAGAATGATTAATAATAATCACATAATAACCTAAATATATTATACAATAAAATTCACGTTTAATAAAATTATAAGCATAAATTAGTAAAGTATTAGGCATGTTGATTGAACTTTGACCCAAAAAAATGTCGCCAGCAAATCCCTAGCTCGTCCCCTCCAAACCTGCACACAGAACACCGCGTTAGGAGGCAAAGGCCGCCCGTCAAGAAAAAAGGTTCTGCGACCATTTGCACTCCGATGGTCAATTTAACTGTCGGACAAGAGAATATGAGTGCAAGAGAGGGAGAGGAGATTTGGATAGGATTAGGAAAACATACCTGAAAATGAAATGGATTATCATATATATAGAAAATCGAGGCGGGCCTTGTGGGCATTAATGGGCCTCGTCCAAGTCCAATAGTAAGGCCCAAAATGCAATAATTTATATGTATAACAATAGTCCCCCAAGTCTAAATCGTATATTTATATGCAGGTCGAATTTGAAATATGAATTGTCAAATAGGCGATACCCCATCGGTCCCCCACTTCCATCATGCGTATGCCACGTAATTAAGGATATATTATGTGTATAACAATAATCCCCCAAGTCTGAGTCGTATAGTTATATGTGAGTCGAACTTGAAATATAAGCTGCTAAATAGGCGAGGTCTTATAGATTACTTAAAAAAATATGAGTAGCTCCAATAAGCGAGACTTACGAACTACCTCGAAAAATATGCATTGGTGCCAAACAAGCAAGGACTTACCAATTGCCTCGAGAATATAAACCGCTCCAATAATTGAGGATTTACGAACTACCTCAAAAAATGTGTGCGAGTCAAAATAAGTGAGGAATTACAAATTGCATTGAAAGATAGATGCTACATATAATTTTTCGAAATTTCGGCAACATCTCCTCTATAATATGAACTAAACCAACCTGCAATATAATATAATATGTCCACGACACGTATACCAAATGACTTGGGATCCATTCGCCCCTCAAATTACTCATGATGATAAAGTGAATGATAACATATTAAATTTCTCCAAGATATAATATGAAGAGAGTCTGTTATGCATCACAATAAATCATATACTCACACAGCTCAGCGTATTAGTAGTGCTATAGTGAAGTAAGTAACAAAATGTCGGTAATAAAATGAAAATGATGATAACGTGACATACGTACTGTCTGTAATGAAAATAATGTCATGGGTCACGAAGCATGCTATCAGTGTTTTGACATATGTACTTTACAACAATAATATAATGTATGTGCTAGTAGTAATATGTAATGATATTAAGACACTAGTATCACAATAGTCCTCCAAGTCTAAATCGAATATTTATATGTGGCTTGGACTTGAAATATAAGCCATTGTTATAAAGCTAATGTTGAGACAGGACTGAATATATAAGCCGCTATGATAAGCTAATGTAGAGGCGATGCAAGAACATAAGTAAAAGAGGCGATGACATAAAGAGAGACGAGCCTATTGGATGAGGCGAGTCTGTTGGATGAGGTGATGTCGTAAAGAGAGGCGAGCCTTTTGGATGAGGCGATACCATGAAGAGGAGGCCAACCTATCGGATGAGGCGATGTTGTGAAGAGGCGAGCCTGTTGAATAAGGCGATGTCGTGAAGGAAGGCGAGCCTGTTGGATGAGAAGATGCCGTGAAGAGAGGCAAGCCAGTTGAATAAGGCGATACTGTAAAGAGAGGCAAGCTTGTTGGATGAGGCGATGCCGTGTAGAGAGGCGAGCTTGTTAGACTTGAGTGGAAGTTGTGATGAAGCCTCAAAGAGAAAAGGTTTATGGGCTCGCCATAGAATAAATTGACATCTCGCAAGACCAGGAATAAGCGTTTGGCGAGGCGGGGTATAGACATCCCACGAATAACTGTCGAACTATTGGAGTTTTATAAGCGGGCCTCAGATGGACGAGGTCTTACAACTAAGCTCAACAATGGTGAGGGGCGAGGAATAAATATCTCACGAAGCCAGAAATAAACATCTGACAAGGTGGGGAATAGACATCCTACGAATAACTGTCGAACCATCGGAGTCTTATAATTGAACCTCGAATGGACGAGACTTACAACTGAGCTCAATGATAGTAAGAGGTGAGGAATAAACATCTCGCAAAACGAGAAATAAGCATTTGATGAGGCGGGGATTAAACATCCCGCAGAAAAGGCCAAGAAAGGCTCTTTTTGCAGGGGCAAACACATCTGGCGATTTGATTCTTCCTTTCTTCAAGGAACGAGGAATCCAAAATGTCACCTCTTTTTTTATTTAAGGAACGAGGGCTCAAAAATATCACATATTCCTTTATTCAAGGAGCGAGGACCCCAAGATATTGTCCATTCCTTTATTCAAGGAATGTGGACTCATAGAATGCTGTCTTTCATAATAAGAAATTCGCGAGCTTGAGCTCACCTTCAATGATGCAAGGTCTTAAAGCTTGCCTTGAAAATGCGGTATAATGTATTAGGCCTTAGAGCTTCTCAAAATTCGTATCTTTCAAGTAGACGATCTTTTGCTTGATGATTCAGAAGATAAGGATGAAAATATAGATGATGCAACAACGTTAACAATTTTTTATTTTTAGCTCGAAAAATGCACAGTTGCTCAATAGGATGCAAGCAAACTCTACACTGAATAGCTCATTAAACAAGAGGAAATTCCTTTCAACATGAATAAGAGCCATTTCCATTATTTTTCTTTGATTACAGTTCAAGCTGAATTTATATCTATCTAAGTATATTTAGATATATATCTATCAGATCATGGTGAGATTCAAGGAGTTCACGGTTGAGGGCTGGGGCTTGACTCCCACTCCCAGTAGTATGTCTTCAGTTGTTCGCTTGGGACAATGCTCTGTGCTTTCCTGTATGTGTGGAATTCCCCTCGAGTTAGTTATTCTATTTATGGAAATCAGAGGATTACATTCGAAAAATGGGTGGTGTGCTCTAAAATGCTCTCTTTGCAAATGGAGATGCTATGTGAATGCCTTAATGGTTGTAAATAGGGGCTCTAGTAAACAAACATATCTCAACAATTATCAATCGAAGGCCATGAAACGGATTCGTCCAGAATTTTAGAAGATGCCTATTTTCATAACAAACAAAGGATTCTCTTCCCAATCCAATGCAACAATTCCAACAAGAGTACCAATACCAAATTTAAAAATATCCCCCAAAAGCAACAAACTAGCCCAACAATGTAATAAATGCCATATTAACAAAACATGATAGAGAATTCCAAAGGCATGTATTTTCTTGATATCTTGTGCTT